TCTACTCAGTGACAAGAGAATTATAAACCATTTGCCTCTTGTCAGCTTCATGTCGGACCAGAAAAATTCGGTTGCTAGATTGTAATAGCCTGATGAAATATGCTAACTTACAGAATTCTAGAAAAACCACTGGGCATCTGTGGAGAGTATACATATCTGGTTGGCAGTTATTAAAATTCAAAAAAAAAAACCCACAAAGCTCTGCAGGCCAACTCAGATCAATGTGTGGTCAGTCCCTTTAGCTGTTGGCATGTAATTTTATATTCAAATAGTATATGTCTTTTCCTCCAATGTGGAACTGAAGAATGCAAGGTAAAAAAGCCTGACTATGGAGAATGGTAAGTGAATTCCCTTCATGGTTTAAAACTCTAATCTGTGTGTTCTGTAGGTCCTTGGTATAGTAGTGGGAGTTCTCCTGCAGGATCACGATGTTCGGCAAAGTGAATTTCAGCAGCTTCCCTACCATCGAATTTTTATTATGCTGCTCTTGGAACTCAATGCACCTGAGCATGTATTGGAAACCATTAATTTCCAGACACTTACAGCTTTCTGGTAAGTAGTGTTCAATTTAATGGAGATTTCCTGGTAAAGATTACTGTTTTAGTATAGTAAAATTTGAGAAGTAGAACAAGTTCCAACTTACAGGTTTAGGCACATTTATTCATAACAAGCTCGTCTACTTCTTTTTGTGTGTTCACTATATTTTAGACTGTGCTTCTAACAAAGGTTTTCTTCTTTCAGCAATACGTTCCACATCTTGAGGCCTACCAAAGCTCCTGGCTTTGTGTATGCCTGGCTCGAATTGATCTCCCATCGGATATTTATTGCAAGAATGCTGGCACATACGCCACAGCAGAAGGTGTGGCTGCAGTTTATCTCCTACAGATGAAGACTGTAACTACCTGAGGCTCACTAGCACTATTAGTCTTTTAGTAGTAGTGATTACACCTCTTCAGGCTTAGTTGGGAATTCTTCTATTTAATATGGAGAGGCTTAGCAAGTACTTGACTGCCTCTGCCTGAGTCATTCCTCAGTGGTTATGGTATTGTGTCTCCAAGTCTGTTGTGAGCTACTTGGGTCAGTATCATAAGGGCCTTTTAAAGTTGAAAGTTTGGACCACCTCTGTAGCCATTTATATCTGGGTGATGGAGCTATGAACCTGCCAGTTTCACAAGTTCACACTCTAAATGCTAATGGCTCTCACACTCAAGGTTGAGGACCATTGGTTACTGCCTTTGAAGAAATTAGGATCAAATTCTAGTAAAGAGTTTTAACATAGTTGTGAATAAACACAACATGAAGTTTCTCTCCCATCTTATAGTAAATGACAAATGACTACTGTAGACAATACCCTTAATTGGCCTTTCAGATCAAAACAAAGCTTATGTATGTATTTGGCTAAAAAAAGAGAGAGAGAATAAAATAATCCTTAGATGGAGTTTTGGTTGGTGGAGAAGTGCTTTCCAGGAAGAGGAGCACAATACATTGAATAAAATTACCCCAGAATGAACATAATTAGTACAATTGAAAATGGGTGAGCAGGCCAAGTTTGGCTTAAAATAGAGGGTTCATGTAAATTAGGTGAGGCTATTTGCCAAGAATTGAGGATCTGGCTTTGGGAAAAGAAATGGTCAAGATTCAGGACTTAATTAAAAGAAAGAATTGAGAAAACAGACCTAGCCATCAGTTTCTCAGTTGGCCAAGTGTTCCATATCTGTGAAATTTTCTCATGATCATCTCCCATTCTTTAAATTTTGCTGCAGTCACAAGGACCTCTGTGTCCTGGAGTTTGGGGAGGCAGTTTGTTTCCCTCTGCCTCCAAAATTAGGCTTATTCCTTTTTAATGCCAATCAGTCTTTAAGAGAGGTACTTTAACATCAGTATTCTCTAGTTATATTAATATGAAGAAGTCACAGTGTAGCTGATTTTCTGATCGCAGAATAGCAGCTGAGTAAGACTCATGTACATTTCTTTCTTTCAGGGGTGGCCTATGTATGCACAGTTACTGATTGATTTATTCAAATACTTAGCACCTTTCCTTAGAAATGTGGAACTCACCAAACCTATGCAAATCCTCTACAAGGTAATTAATTAAAAAATAATTAAGATGTAAGAGTTTTTATTTTTATTTTTTTAAAAGATTTTATTTATTCATGTTCAGAGAGGCAGGGAAAGAAGGAAAGAAACAGCTATGTGTGGTTGCCTCTTGCCTGTCCCCACTGCAGTGATCTGGCCTGCAACCCAGGCATGTGCCCTGGCTGGGAATCAAACTGGCTCAATCCACTGAGCCACACCAGCTAGGGCATTTTATTTGTTTTATACATACCATAATCTGATTAAGGAAATACCCTTCTATTTGTAATTTGCTGAGAATTTGTAAATAATTAAATGGGTATTAATTTTATTGAGTGCTTTTTTGCATTCAAGATCCTGTAATTAAAATTTTTTAAATTTATTGATTTTTAGAGAGCAACCCACATCAGTTTGTTGTTACACTTATTTGTGCATTCATTGGTTGATTATCGTTATGTACCCTGACCCAGGATTAAATCCACAACCTTGGCATATCAGGACGATGCTCAGACCCACTGGGCTACCTGACCAGGGCAATTTTTTCCCATTACTGTTTTAATTCTGTTAATTTTCAAATGCTTAAATCATCATTGCATTCCTGGACCATTTGGTCATAATATATCACTGATTTATACTTCAAAAACAGGGCTCTTAAGTATTTGTAAGGTTATGCCAGTAAAGGCACCTAGGCCTGGAATTTTTTCTTAGTGCGAAATCAGCAAATACTTTTTCTTTTCTTTTTTTTTTTTTTTTAAATATATAGGGCACTTTAAGAGTGCTGCTGGTTCTTCTGCATGATTTCCCTGAGTTCCTTTGTGATTACCATTACGGATTCTGTGATGTGATCCCACCTAATTGTATCCAGCTAAGAAATCTAATCCTGAGTGCCTTCCCAAGAAACATGAGGCTTCCAGACCCATTCACTCCTAATCTGAAGGTAAAGTTTCAAATAGTTCAAGGAAAAGAAAATTATGTTTAATATTTTTAGTTCTTTCTCTGGGAAATAGGTGGCAGGCCAATCATTTGGGTGGCCCCATGGCACAGAATTGCAGAACAGACCTTAAATTTTTTTTTTACTTTTATTGATTGTAGAGAGAGAAACATCCATTTATTATTCCATTTACTTATGAATTTATTGGTTGATTCTTATATGTACCCTGATCGAGGATTGTACCCACAGCCATGTCATATTGGGACAATGCTCTAACCAGCTGAGCTACCGGCCAGGGCCAGAACAGACAGACCTTTTGTAATGTCAGCATTTCACAGGTGTTTTGTTTAAATTGTTGAAGGGGGAAAAGGGGACCACTTAAAATCACACCACCCTGGCATGGGCAGTCATTTTTATGTAGTTTCTACCCCCCCTTTTTTTTTTAACCTTTCACATGAATGTTTTTAAAAATTAACAAGTATGATGATGTTTATTCTTCTGGGGTGTCTTTTCCAAGACTAGTGCTTCAGTGAGTGAGTAAGCTAATTCCACAGGGTCCAGTGCAAACAACGCCCTTTTACTACAAAATCATAAGCTGTAATTCTGTAACAATATCACATACCATATGACATTTTCAGTGAAATGTTCAAATTAAAGTAGCAGCTCTACTCTTGAAGACATTTTTGATGTGTATAGTTTTAGAAAAACAATTCTACCACTTTCTGACATAGATAGAATTTGTTGTTAACTCGTTACAAATGCCCTGGTTGCAGTTCTTGTATTTGTCTGTGACAGGTGGATATGTTGAGTGAAATAAACATTGCACCCCGGATTCTCACCAATTTTACTGGAGTGATGCCACCTCAGTTCAAAAAGGATTTGGATTCCTATCTTAAAACTCGGTCACCGGTCACTTTTCTATCTGATCTGCGCAGCAACCTGCAGGTTAATTGGTTTGGCTAATTCTCAGCTATGTCTTAGATAGAGAGCACTTTCTATGCATAGTCCTTATGTGTGGCCTGTTTGGGAGTCAGTCTTTTTAGCTTGATTAAAAGATTTTAATACATACTGTTGTTTTTTAATTTATTGAAGTAGGGTGACATTAGTTAATAAATTACAAGTTTCAGGTGTACAACTTTGTAGCACATCATCTGTATATTGTATTATGTGTTCAGCACTCCAGTCTTTCCTAATGGTTGGGTGAGATTAATGAGATTATAGATCATCTTATCAGTGACACAAAGGCAAGACCTTGGAAGAGGTGACCAAGGAGTGGACTGATTTTCTGTCAGAGATAGACTGACAACAACTGTTCCTAGACAGTACTCCAGGGATTTTCCTAAAGACATGGGTTTAACTTGCTGTATAGAAAATGACTTGAGATTATATTATCTTTCCAGTAGTTTCACATCTAGGAAACACAACTTTGTCTCTCTACAGATCTTTTATATAATTGAGATAGTGCTCCCCCCCCTTTAATAAACTTCACTTTTGTGCATTCCTGTTAAGGTTTTGGTTTCCCAAGGGAAATGGTATTTGTTGTTTTCTTGTGTATTTGCTAAGTAACCTCAACAAACTCAAGTCAGTTTATTTAAAATTTAAATTACACAGAATGTCGAGAGCAGTTCAGCTTTTCTATGAAGGCCTAGAAAAGGGTTTAGAGATACTAATGCCCAAATTAACCATTTGTGAGAGTAAGTCAGGAGCTCTGTTGTGTTCATTTAGGTATCCAATGAGCCTGGCAATCGCTACAACCTGCAGCTCATCAATGCACTGGTGCTCTATGTCGGGACTCAGGCCATTGCGCACATCCACAACAAGGGCAGCACACCTTCAATGAGCACCATCACCCACTCCGCTCACATGGACATATTCCAGAACCTGGCTGTGGACTTGGACACTGAAGGTGAGTCAAGCCAGTCTCTACTCAGAGTCAAGTTCTCTGCACTTTATGCCACAGTCCAGTCATAAAAAATAAGCCACAAGAGAGAAAGAATGTTCTGTCAATGTTTATTGGTATGCCTGGCTATTTTTAGTTGGATAGTATCTGCTCAGTGCAAAACAGCATAAAGGAAAGAACCATCCAGAGTGCTTACCACATCAGTTAATATTCCAGTGTATGTCACTGCAGTACTTTTTTAGTGTGCAAAATAAATGTGTTCCTTTTATTAGCCTCTTTAAAAAATAGCATTAATGTTAACATTCTGTTAACCTGCCTTTTTCCCCTTTTCCCTTACTGGTGCTTACTTGGCAGGCAGGACATTGACATTAGGTGTATAAACGTGCATGGATGGGAGTTTCCCTACTTGCTTGGCAAAAAGCTCACAGTATAACTTTATTCTAGGTTGCCTGTGAACTGTATTTCACATTCTGTATTCTTAAGTAATAGAGATTCACTAGGTACTCACCAATTCTATACAGTCCTCACCTTAGCACACATACACTTTAGAAGAATGCCTGCCTATTTTGACTTTGCTCTGGATTCTTGAGAAGCTAGTTAATTTTGAGTATGTATAAATTGTTGGCTTATTTGTAGAAGAGATTTGAGTCAGCTTAAAATCAAGATTTAATAAAAGTGAATATCACGTCCCAAGCCGAGCAAAAAGAAAGTAGTCCTTAGGGACACGTTAAACATAAGTAATACTGAGCAGAGGCCAGACAACTGAGCCAAGTTAATAAATACTCATTCCAATATACTTTAAACTAGTGGTTCTCAAGTGTGGTCTGAGAACCCTTGGTGTGGAGTTCAAGACCCTTTTTAGAAGGGCTGTGAGGTCAAAACTATTTTCATAGTATCTTGGTTTTTGCACTCAGGTTGTAATGAGTGTATGGAGTTTTCCAGAGGCTACACGAAATGTAATACTGGAGCAGATTGAACAAAGGCAGAAATGACAATCCAGCTGTCTTCTCTTAAGTGGCAATAAAGAGACTGGTGAATTAAACCAGTGACACCCTGCACTAAGTCTCTTGGGGGAAAACTTTTTAATGTAGAAATACTGAAATAAAATGCACAGAAATAAAAACTCTTGGGGACCTAAAAACTGTAGGATAATTTTTAAACCTATAGTAGAAATCTAAATCCTAACCAGTAAAATGATTTGCCTTCTTATCTTGGCCTTATAAAGTAAGTCCTCACTAAGCTGGATTTTTTTTTGATTTGTAGGTCGGTATCTCTTCTTAAATGCAATAGCAAACCAGCTGCGGTACCCAAATAGCCACACTCACTACTTCAGCTGCACCATGCTATACCTTTTTGCAGAAGCAAACACTGAAGCTATCCAAGAACAGATCACAAGGTAAGAGATTTTTCAGATGCTTCTTAGTTGTGCCTCAGCCCTTTTACTATGAATTCTTTGAGCATCTTTTTATGTGTTTAATATGGGATATGGTTGTGAACAATGACATGCAGCTACAGGTAATAATCACTGCTGAAATAAGTAGTTTGCAGCAAGACACCAACATTTTTAAGCTCATGTGTTGGTGGCAGTGCAATTTTTAACCCGAGTCCTGAGTCACACGGGCCTATTAAAGCCCATGTTAAAGCATGTGGACTTATCTCTAGGTTAAAAGGTTTTTAAGCAGCAGAAATAATAGGATCATACTTGTGCTTTCCAGACAGTAGTTAAGAATCTTTCGTATATCGCTTGGACAATATACAGCACTGGAGATTGAGCAATGGGTAGATTCTAGTGAGAGAAGTATGGATGCATGTACTTGACAAACTGGGTCAGACTTTTTAAACTTGCCCCTTCACTTATAATAGTAGTTTGTGGATATTAGATAACAGTAGTCTGGTACATTTATATACTGGAAATTAAGTAGTGATAATGTCCTGTCTTGTGATTATTTATAAAGCTGTAGTAAACTTCCTTGAACTTAAATCTTTGTTCTTATGCTTTATTTTCTTGAGAAATATAGTTGGCTAGGTAAAAGATATGAATATTTAAGCCGGTACTAAACTGCTATTCAAAAAAAGTACCAGTTTATACATGTACTAGTGGTATTAGAATTTATTTCCTTAAATTGTGTATTCTTTTAAAAAAATATTTGTGTATTTTTAGAAAGGGAGGGAGAAAGGGAGAGAAACATCATTTGTGGTTGCCTCTCATGCGCCCCCTACTGGGGACCTGGCTTGCAACCCAGGCATGTGCCCTGACTGAGGATTGAACTGGAGACTCTGGTTCACAGGCCAGCCAGGGCTGAATGCATTCTTTGAGTGATTACTTTCTTGCACCATGTAATCTGATATTGTCCTCACTTGACTGTAACTTAGTCTCTTAGGCTCAGGGGAATAGGCAGGACTCAAAGCTAGGTTTCCTAACTCCAATTCTCCCTACATTACCTATGCAGTATAGAGGACAGAGATTGATCCACTAGTCTTTAGTAAAGCTAACAATTTTTGCATGTGGTTTAATAATCAGGAGAAGAGTTAGGCAAAAAAAAAAAAAAAAGTATCGGAAAAGTGGTTCTGAATCTGTGTGTTTCTGTGTAATATTAACCTATTCTCTCCTTCTCCAGGGTTCTCTTGGAACGGTTGATTGTAAATAGGCCACATCCTTGGGGTCTGCTTATTACCTTCATTGAGCTGATTAAAAATCCAGCATTTAAGTTCTGGAACCATGAGTTTGTACACTGTGCCCCAGAAATTGAAAAGTAAGTTAAAAGTAATTTTTTAATTGTCTTAATGGGACGGAATGAGGATCATTTGATGGCTTCAGCCTGGGTGGATTATTAAAAAGGAGGTAGTTGTTAAAGTGAATGAGACACAAAATATTATCAGGCCTGAATTTCTCTCACAGACTTGCACTCTCTCTTTTTCAGGTTGTTCCAGTCGGTTGCACAGTGCTGCATGGGACAGAAGCAGGCTCAGCAAGTAATGGAAGGGACGGGTGCCAGTTAGATGGAACCACCTCTCTGTTGTGAACTGTCAGCCTGGCTGTCCCAGAGCACCACGTTCATAAACTGGCTGAGGAACCCGTTCAGCTCTTCTGACTTTCTCAGCCCTTTGGTTCTTGGGTACCTGCCCCAATTACTGTTTGGGTCAGTTTCCTGTCTCTGTGGGCACGTTCCAAAGTTTAAATGCATTTTTTGACTCTTGGCCAAAATTTAGAAAATGCTGTGAATATCATTTTGAACTTGTGTAAATATATGACAGAGAAAACCTTTGTCTGGAACTTCTTGGGTTTGTGCAAAATATGTCCAAGGCAAGTATATAAACTGGTACCTGTCCAGCTTATTATTGAAGATGCTGCTGCTGCTGTGCACTTGTCTGGGGACATAGTTCCATGTCTTCTGACATTCCTGGTGTCCCAAAGAAGTAGCGCAAAAAAAAAAGAAAAAACCAAAAAAGCCAGTTTAAATATTATGTAACTTATTTTTTTAATGTGGACAGGGGACCTTGAAGATTACCAAGTTGTTGAAATGTGGATGTGGTAGAATTTAGTATACCAGAGAACCTGGAAAGAGCCCACAGTTACAATCCTACGGGTTTTGCTTTGTCCCTTCTCCAAACTTAGAGCAACTGCTGGAAAGCATCCCCTTTTTATAAAGGGAAACCAGAGCAGGCCTAAAGCTCCCCCATCTCTGTTAATTGTAAACTGAGGAAAGGGAACCAATAGTATGAACTGCCCTCCCCTTTTATCCCAGGCTAAGTTGAATGAATACCAACAAAAGTCAAAAGGACCAATACCGTCAGTCCCTTTGGTAAGGATTTTGAGTGTTTTGTAAATGTATTGGTCCGTGTTGTATTTTGTAGCCTTTTTAGTTCCTGGGCTTTAGCTCCCCTCCTTCTTGTATGTGTATGCATACTGTAGTCAATGCAACATTAAAGTCATGACACACACATGAGTCCACTGTGCCTTTTCTCAGTAGCAGCAGCCAGTGCTAGAGGTAAGGAGGAAAGTGGACAGCCCACCCCTGCAAAGCCCAAGGTCTTTGGGAACCACCAGCTTCTTGCTGAATGGTAGATCTTTACCACTACTTTTGGACATCTGGCATGTTCAAATAAACAAGTGATTTTTTTTTTACATAGTATTTTTCTGTTCCTTTTCAACAGTAGAAAATTAACCATAGAAACCTGCTCTAACAGTTAAAAATGCTTTCTATTTTTAAAAGAAAGGAATAGGTATATATTTAAAACTTATCCCCCTTATAATAATATTTTGTACTTTTAATGGCTATCAAGTTTTATAGCCAGAGAGGACAAATGTCCAGGGCTAAACAGGAAATCTTACATGAAGTGAGGCTTTGATGTCATTGGTGTCATGTGCTTCCTTCCCTGCAGGAGAGTGAGTGGTGCCACCTGGAGCAGACTTCAGAGTGCTGAGGGGTTAAAACAGATGCTCTGAGTGCCAGTGGCATCACTCACTCACTCTGTCCTTTAAGAGGAAGGAAACAAAGTTTGTTTTATAGAAGGTAAAGCGCCAGGTCTCCTTTCAAAGTCTGTGCTATCAAACACTAGATGACAGTAAGACCTTTCATGATCAGAATCATACTGCTAACCTTCGTGCAAACTGAAAACAAGACAACAATGGTAGTAACTAAAAAAGTGGGTATTGGTTTTGGTGACAATCAGCAATTCCCAAGTCTGCTATCCCCAACCCTTAAACGTGTCCCCTTACCTCAGAGTTCATCTTAGACACCTTTGTTCCTTTTCCTTCTGGTATTTAATATGAAAAAGCAAACAAAGATCCAGAATTTCCTCCTTTTTGAGCATCATTGAATATCACCTTAGAATCAAGTTCCTGTGGATGTCTCATGGATGTTCCAGTTCCAGGCACAGGGAACCTGCTTATTAGCTTAACCTGTCAGTTCCAGCAACTGGTGTAAGATCATCTTCTGTCCGTAACGAACCTGTAAGGCCTGTTGTTCCCTCCAGCTGAGTTTGGTGTACGCCTCCTTATTACTGAGCAAATCTTGCTCAGTTTTTAAGTCTGTGGCATAGGTTTGCAGGGTCAACAGAATACTGTCCCGTAGAAGCTGCCTCCATGATTCTTTGAGCTTGGGGATATTTGTGATTGTCAGGCTGTCCTCTTCCCTTTCCTCATCTCTCCATCCATCCTGGTCTCGAACCTCTCTGAACTCCTCAGCAGGCATGCACAGCACCTAGAAACGACAGCAGGGCCCTTAACCTGGGATGCACTACTGGTATATTTCTGAAATTCCAGTGGGGAAGCCAACCTGTCTTGGCAGCATTCAGGTTTCCTCTTCATCACTCCTGCTCCTAAATACGGGGTTGGCTAAAAAGTCCATTACATTTTTTCCACAGAAGGCACATGTTCATTTTCACCAATAACTATGGAATTGGATGTTTTTTATTAATGTCAGCTATCTCTTGTTGCTGGCTTCTAGTGGGTAGAGGCCAGGGGTGCTACTAACCATCTTCCAGTGTGTCAGCCCCATTGTAAAGAATCACCTGGCCAAAATGTCGACAATACAAAGAAACTGCAAACCACTTTCGACAGTCACAGCACCTTCTCTACACAATGCAGATCTTGTTTTTTGCATTTTTATCTTCTTGAAATAATAGAGTATAATATGCTAAAAATGTTGCTTATGTTCCATTTTCAATATTGAAATGGCTGCACAATTTTCTTAATACACATTGATGTAACAGCTGTCACGATACAATCTAACAAAATTGTTTCAAATGAAGTTAAATACAACTAAGCACTATTAGGGCCATCAAATTGGGGAAAACAACCTTTTTGCCCAACCAAATACTCAGGCCTGCTTTCAGCATTAACTGGCCGTTTTCAGCCCCTTACCTTGAGCGTGGTGGTCAGTTCCTCTTCTGTCAGCACCTCTTCCCGCCCAATCACAAAGGCTCCTTCCTCCCCCACCATCTCCAGTCTGCATAAGTAGTCCCAGCGCTCCTGCAGCAGGAGCCTTTCAGCTTCACCTTTTGTTCCTGCAGACGGAGGTGATAAATAGTGTGATGTCTGCGCCTGAGTCTGCCACCTAGTCTCCAAAAACCAACTGCTGTTCAGCAGAGCACCGGGGTGGGAACCGATGCACATTCAAACGTCCAAGACAGTTAATCACTCACCCTGTAAAGCTGCCTCACGAACTGTCACCATCTGAATGTCAGCTGTGTCATCTGTGTTGTCAGGGTATGGTTCAACAAAACCGTACATATGAATCAGCTGCCAATTAGCCATTTTCCCGTAAGTGTTGAAAATTTCATGGCCTTTAGGAATGGGCTGAGTAGCCACCATCCGAAGACAGTTCTGGAGTGGAAGGGAGAAGCTGGGACCAGGCCCTTCCCAGACTAGTGGCGTGGCTCCTCCCCTCTCAGGAAGACCTTCCAGCAGGTTCAGTTCAGTGATGGGACTGATGCTGTGCTCACCCCCAACAGTAACTGTCCACACAGGAACAGAAGCGACATAACCAGCCCTGGTGCTGGAACCGCAGACCCACACTCCACACTGGAGCCCTGGGTCTGTGCAGAGCAGCAGAACTCCAGTGTCATCGACAGTAGTCAAGTTCATGAGGGGGTTAATCACAACTTTGAGGGCTAGGAGATGGGTTATGCTCAAACTACTTCACTGGAATATGCAAAAGTGACTATATGAGTGATTATATGACTTCACTGGAATATCCAAATGAATACATACAGGAGGCGATAGCTTCACCTTTTTAGGACAAGGAAATTGGAGCCCATTTAGCCCAATTTACCAGGCAGGCGTGTAAGTGGCAGGCACTCCCAGTCACCAATGCACAGAACAAGAAGTGGGAGGGGTCCACTCACCGAGGAGTATTCTAGATTGGCATTGTGATTGGCTAAGTGGTTTAGGATGTCTGCAGCAGGCACCATCAAAGGGGGGTTTGGCTCTTTTTCATCCTCCTCTTCCTCCAGTGGTTCCTGAAAGCTACCCGAAAGAACCTGGCTACAGCCCAGTGCAGGGTGAGAGGCTGGGGGTGGCGTTCCCAGTTCTTACCCTCTTGTCCCTCAGTAGAGCTCTAAGGAAAAGTGGTTTCGGAAGCTCTGCTCACTGACCTGTAGGCCATCACGAGAGCCACAAGCTGGTGGTAGAGCTCCAGGGAGCGAACCCTGGGGCTGAACAGGTCAGGGTGGGCTTCCATGAAGGGCAGAACAACGGAGTAGTACTCGCTGCGGATGTTGGCCAAATCCTTCTCTACCGCCTCAGGTACCCCTGTGCCTTGCAGCAACCGCCGGCGCTCCTCCTCGGGCCTGCGGGGACACCCCGCCAATGTTCCCTTTACACCGTCCCAGGACCACTGCTCGGGAGGCAGCCGTGTCCCCGGGCCCGGGCGGTTTCAGCCCCCGCTACGACTCTCACCAGAACATGGGGTGCTCCAAGCGGCCCAGCTCCGGCCAGAGCGCGAAGTAAGGGCTCCAGGGTGAGGCCGGGGCCTGCAGCTCGTGGAGCAGCGCCAGGAGCAGTGGCACCCAGCCGGACTGGCTCTCAAGTGCGCCTCGCTCTGGGGGAGACAGCAGTCAGAGCCCCGGCGCGGCCCGGGAGCCCGCCTGGGTGCTCACCCCCGCCGGCGAGCCCACCTCGCTCCAGCAGGCCGCCGATCGAGCAGGTGTACTGCGACAGGAGCGCGGCTCGCGGCACCGAGAACAGCAGCTCCCCAGGCTGTACGCTTTCCCGGGCCACCATGCCGTAGCCGGCCACAGTGCCCTGCCGGCTCACCGCCACCTAAGTTGAGGCCGGGGGGGTTGAGGAGCAGAGGATCAGAGCTGGCCCGCACCGGCCCCGTCTCCCGCCCCAACTCTCACTCACTTTAGGACTCAAGTCCAGCCCCACGCGCCGGCACCAGCTCAGGAAGCCGGCCACCGGGTCCGGGTCCAGGTCCTTGTCGTCGCCGCTGCCCACAGGCCCGGTCACCTAAGACAAGCAAACTCACTGGCGACGCCCCAGTCCGGAGCGCAAGCTGGGAGAGGGGGGAGACAGCGGCGCGCACGGAGGAAGGGCTCTGGGTGGGGGATGGGAACGAGGAAGTGAAGGAGACCCCCCACGCGGCACGGATTCCGGGCGGAGCAGTGCGAGGCGCTGGGCGGGGCGGTGGGCTTCCGATGGGCGCTCAGGACTCACCCGCCGGCGCTTCGCCTGAACCGCCATGGTTGGAGGGCGCGCGGTCGGGCGCAAAGAGCCGCACGAGCTTCCGGCGCCCAAAGCCCCACCCCAAGGCAGGGCTTATAGCCCCACCCACCACGCAGACCACGTGGGGCTCGTGTCAAAACGCACGCGGAAGACAAGTAGGGATTTGTTCGTGGTCCGATTCTTCTGCGCGTCTGGGTGTCCCCACTTGGGCTTAGAAAAGGTGTGGTCGGATGCCTGAAGGTATGTCCCCATGTCACCTCGAGCCTGGTTCTGAGCCAGACGCAACCCTTCCCTTTGGTCTCGACAGCTGAGACCCCGGGGTAGTGCTACTGCGGTTGGGAGCGCTCTCAGGTGGGCGCCCGCCCGCCTTCTACTAAAAAAACTTATCTCTGAACTGAGACCAGGGGGATGCTGAGCTGTGACTGGCATATTCTGAAAACTGGCCTGATTTGACAAGAGGGAGGAGACGGGGGTGGGGTGTGTGTTTGTGTGTGTGTGTGTGTATGTGTATGTGTATTTGAGAGATTGGAACTTAATGGTAGAATCCTGCCACCATTCTACCATATTTTGCGGTGTATAATGTGCATTTTTTGCCCAACTTTTTGAGGGGAAAATAAGGGTGTGCATTATACATGGGTATTACTCATTTGTAACCAGTACATACAATTTCTTGTACCATAATGTTCAACAATAAATGCAAAAATTCCTTTATAATACAAAAAAAGTATCTACATACAAATGAATTTTAAAAGATTTTTTTCCCTTAAAGTTTGGGGGGAAATGTGGGTGCGCATTATACATGGCAAAATACGGTAAATCGGTGTAACTTCTAAATAAACGATTCCTTTCCTTTTTACCGAACTCTGGCATTGGGAGTCTTGGTGCGGGCAGTCAAGCCCACACGTCTGTTTTAGAATTCCGAATGCTGGCATTCTGTAACCCTCTGTCACACTGGCTAGCGCGCCCGTTTTCATTTACTGCACAGCACGTCGTGGATTTTACTCTCGTGCTTTATTAGCTGACACAGCAGGAACTCAACTGGGTACATGGCTGAGTAAATCAGAAGTGGTTAAACATGGGGAAAGCAGCAGCTGCTGTTAAATTTAAGGAAAAGAGGCAATGAGTGCCCTGGTTAGGTGGCTGGGTTGGTTGGAGAATCCTCCCACACACCAGAAGGGTCCTCAGGTTAGATCCCCAATCAGGGCACCTAGCTAGGTTGCAGGTGCGATCCCCAGCCGGCCTTACCTGTGGAGGCAACCAATCAGTTTTTCTCTGTCTCTCAAATCAATGAACACATCCTTAGGTGAGGATTAAAAAGAAAAAAAAAATGAGGCAGCAAATGCACAGGTTACGGGCTTGTATTTCGAAGTCAAACAATGCCAAGGCCAGCTCCCCACTGGGCTTTCTTTGGGCAAATCCCTCACCCTGAAGCTAGTCTCCTGGGTTATGAAACTGAGACGGTGAATATCTATCCTGTAGAATGAATGTAAGGATTGGTAGGACCGTGTGTGGGACCGGAAGTGGGAGCAAGGAGGTAGATGGAAATGCCTGCCTTCACTCTGCACTTACACCCAAGAGGCGCCAGCCTCAACAGCCCAGACACTCTCTCTTCGAAAGCCTCCCACGGGGCACTGGCATCACTTGACTCCCATTCTTCTCAGTGTCTTTATTCATTTTTCAGCAGTTAACACCTTCTACGTTGACAAGGGTTTTTTTATTTGTCTTACAGTTTGTCATTTCTGAGTCTCATGACATCAGCCACTAGAATACACAAAATTAGGCTCTTCACTGTACAGAGAGGAAAAATAATAAACTCCATTAAAAGTTCACTTTGACCAAAGAAGAGACAACCTCCAATGGAAAAACCACACACAGGAGGAACCCAATATATATATATTTATAATGTATAGATATTTATAGATATATCATCTGAAAGAACACAGCAAAAAAAAAAAAAAACCCAACTTGCAGCGTTATCTACAGTAAGAGGGATTAAGTCTACCAGCTTCGCAAACAGTCACATTCGATATTCAAAGGGAGCACGTGAGTGAACAGAACTGGAAACAGACTAACACCCCACCAGGCTCCAGAGCAGTCTAGCAATGGCTTAAGATTATAGGAGCAGGGCTGGGATATGCGCAGAGGGAATGTGGATGCAGGGGTCCTCCCAGCTATACCCCCCCACATACACACACCGCAGCCCCCCATTTTCATAGCTTCCTCCTCTCTCTCTTGAGTTGTTTGGGGGTTTATGGCCATCGATGAGGCTCTGAGACCAATGGCTTCTGGTTTCTGGGCCGGGAGAGTCTGCCTGGTAAGGTGGTAGATGGGGAACACTTGGCACTGTCCTGGGTGTTGGGGGGCGGGAGGGGGCTGGGGCGGTGGGAGCCTTCCTCCTCCACCTGGCCCTTGTTCACCCCAGGAGACCTCACTCCTACGCTGGGATCCAGCAAGCCCCAGTCCATGCCACTCGACTGGCCGAGATGGTGACTGGTGACAGGCATGCAGTCTCGCTACCCTGGGCCTGCTCTAAACAAACTCTCTCCACTTCCGTAGGGATGCGGAGGGGAAAGCCTGGCACAGCTCGACCAGGACTCTGCCTTAGGGACCTCATGTTTCTGGTGGTCTTGGCCATGCTGTCCTCCATGGAACCCGGGGGCAAAAAGGGATCTGTTGGGACTTTCGGCCACTGCTGCCTGTGGCCACATGCTGGATCCCACGGGCAGACTGCATGAAGTTCTCAGGGGGACACCCAATCCTCCTCACTGGCCAGCCCAGCCTTAACCTCAGCCCCCAAGTCAGGTTCCTATGGAGATGGAAGACCAGGAGACTTTCCGCTTCAGGGCCTTGGCTCAGAAATGGGACAGGGCCGGGAGGTGGCAGAATGTGTGACCTAGAAGACACAGTCTGTGGGCTTCTGGCCCTCAGGGTCCTCTGTTTTGTTTCCCTTGGACAGAGAAACGTCCTTCAGCCCCTGCCTGCCTGGCCCCAACAGCACCAGCAAAACAACAGCCTGGTAGGAGCGCCCCCTTGTGGCTACTGTTCAGACGATCGTCACCTCTGCTACAAGACAGAAACAGATGTGCTTGGAGGGGCTGGGCAGGTGGGGGGGCCCTGCAGAGCTCCAGGGCTGCTCCCGGGCCAGTGTCTGAGCTGCACCCCACTCCTGCCCTCACAACTCCACCCCACCTTCACACCTGCCTGCCCGAGGGGGTCATCCCACACTCTTTCTTTAATCCAGGATAGCACCCTGGATCCGGCCAGGGAAGGACTCAGCCTTTCCTTGGCAGATCCCCTTCAGGCCGGGCAGTGGGGATTTGGAAGAGAGGAGTCCAGGTTAGCCAAGTCGACGAGGTGAGTGAGGCAGGGGTCGGGGCCCTCCGGAGACTGCTCTGCAGTAGCATCTAAGAGACGTAGCCCCCACTTCCTCCCTTTCACCCTCACGGAAACAAACAAAAGAGAAAAGGAGCTGCTGCAGGGACGGCAGTGGGACTTCAATGAGGGGGCATGTGGGCGTCTTTGGGGGGCCGAGGACTTCAGCAGGACACCTCCATAGTGTGGTTGACCTGGCCGAGCCCCTCGCTGCTCTCCGAGTGGGGACAGGCCTGCGGGCGGCTGCCATCCCCCGAGCTGGCACTGGTGAGGGACGCTGTCCGAGAGCGGGCGAGACGGGTCATGCTGGCTGAGGGCACTGTGGACAGAGGAGGGACCCCGCGTGAGGACCAGCAGGCAGGGCAGGGCACCAGCAAGCAGGAGGATTCACGCAAGCAAAGCGGCCAGCGAGACTCGTTCTTCCAATGGCACAAGGGGCCTGTCCCAGGCCAGGGCTGTGGCATCTGCTCTGTCAAGCCGAAGGCATGCAACTCAGCGACAGTGAGGGAACCGAGGGGCCAGGGCCGGGGCCCGGGGTCCACAGGCACCAGCAGGACCCTCTCACCACAGCTGGCCAGAGCTACAGCTAGGGCAGGGTGGGTGGGAGTTGATGGGGCCTCCCAGAGCTGGTGTAAGGACAGGTCATGATTTCAGCAATGCTGGTCTCAAGAGGACAGTGGGGCTGGGGGAGTGGGGTGACTTCTGAGGACAAGCTGCGGCAACCTCATATGGCCTCAAACCCCATTTCTGCCCTCACCCAGAGTTTCACAAGCAAAACTCAGCCCTTCTGAACTCAGCCAACCACCTGTCCTGCTCAGGCACCTGCTCAGGCATGGCAGGGCGCCCCTTCCCCGGCCGAGCTGGGCTCAGGCCTCTGAGTCTGGTTCCACCTGCCAGAGCTCTGGAAGCCACACAGCCCAGGGCAGCCGAGAAGCAAGACGGCCTAAAGCCCAGCCAATCGACAGCCCTAAAAAGGGACAGAGCCCACGCAGCCCAGCAGCTGCAGACGAGCAGGACTCTGGGTTCTGGAGGTAAGCAGGACAGAGGTCCCAAATCACAGCAAGGTGTGGCCTGACTCCTCACAGCACAGAGGAAGGAGCAGAGCGAGCCTGGGGGCGGGTCCATGCACTGGGGGCGGGGCCGCAGGGCTACCTGCTCCTCCACTCAGCCTTCGGTCCTTCAAGTACGCAACTAAGAGAGAAGACAGAGCCAGGGAGAGGTGGGGGTGGAGGAGACAGAACACAGTGAGGCAGGGGTGTTGAGATGGACCAGAGATAAGACCCAAGGACAGGCACCAGGGGCTGGGGGCAGGGCTGGGCTCCTGCCCACCCACCATGCAGCAGCCACAGAAGGCACCACACAGCACAGACTGATCTCAACCTGGCCCCAGGAGCCCCAGCAGCAGGCTGGGGGCACTTCTTTGCTCCCCTGACCATCTTTCCAGCCGGGCAGCAGCACTCAGGTGCTGACGTCCATGTCCTTGCCCAGCACCCTCGCCGTTCTGCTGGGCCTCCCAGGTACAGAGTGGGGAGGCCTGCACGACCTCCCAAATTCCTCCCAGCTCCTGGGCTGCTGGGCAGGACTTCTGTTGCTCATCCACACAGCCAGCCTGGGCCTCCTCGCCCTACTTCTGCTGAGAGAGGCAGCAGGCCCCTGGGGGCCGGAGGGAGAGCTATTCCAGGGTGTGCCTGCCTGTCTGCCACCACAGACCTGTCCTTGCTC